AGATGGGAGAGGATAAGAGAGTCGAGATATAATAGATGGTATGGGGAATGGAAGGAGGAGGGTTTACCGGAATACCTGAGAAAGGGATGGGGGGAAAGTAGATGGAGAAGGATAGTTAGGTTCAGAATGAACAATGAGATGAGAGGGGCAAGATACTGGGAAGAAGAGGAGAAAAGAAGATGTAGGTTATGTGGGATAGAAGAAGAAACATGGGAGCATGTGATAGGAGAATGTGGGGGAGAAGGAGAGAAGGGAAACTGGTGGGAAAGAATGAAGGAAATATTGCAGGAAGGAGGAGAAGGGGAAGGATGGATGAGAGAAATAGAGAAAAAGAGGGAAGAGGGAAGAACGGAAGAAAAGGGGGAGGGAGGGGAAAAGGAGGAAGGAAGTATGAGGAGGAGAATGAGTGAGGTATGAATGAGGTGGTGGAGAATATATGGGGAATCGGAAGCCGAAGCGAAGCAAAGCGATAGGTAGGGACGGCTCTTTCTCTCTCTAAAGTAGTAGATAAGTAGGTTAAGGTAGAATTAAGTTATTTGTAAATTAGATGTAAGAGTAGAGATAAGAATAGATATAAGTAAAGATTGTAAGAGTTGTGTAAGGTTGGGGAACGCTCCTTCAAAAGCGCCTTCAATCCCTCAGGGGAGAATAAAGAATTGAATTGAATTGAAATATATATATATATATATATATATATATATATATATATATATATGTAAAATATATAAAATCATACAACATACAATTATTTTTTTACTGTATATATATGTATATATATATATATATATATATATATATATATGTATATATATTGTAAAAAAATAATTGTATGTTGTATGATTTTGAATCTGCTTGTGAGAAAATGTTCATAAACATTATAATTACAAACATTTAAAAAGTATTTTTATAAAAAATTTTTGCAACATTTGGAAATACAATGATACTTAAAAAAACATTAACATTTCATTTATTCGTAACACGGTGAGATAAAAAATTATAGCCTGTTCTATAGAAGACAAATTGAAATCATTATTAAATATATGTATACACTTACTTTTCATTGTGCCTTAATAAGAGCATTGATGTTTGATATATAAGTCAATTAAGCATTTTTGCGCGAATTAAACAAAATGACTTTTTATATATTGAAGAAATGTCAGATTTAGCGCTAGTACACAGAATAATAACTGCCATTGATATTTACAGAACACTTAAAATGACCTTAAAAAAATTTATTTGCGATTTTTTTAAATGTTCGTGCATAGTGACAGATAGTGCGAAGTCTATGGCACGATTAGATTTTTAGGATAATTAAAGAAATTTAAAATTTTCTTTGCTTCATTGCACATATACCAGGAAGCTTATGCAGAAAAGATATAAAATAATCTATTGCCATGCAGACAGGAACAGCAATCGTAAATACGATAACAACAAATCTTTGCTTCATTACAAGTTTCAAAGCTTTCTCGAAGAAAAAAAACTTTGCAAAAAACATTGCAAAATTTTTTTGCTATAATAAAAGAATAATTTTTCCATACAAAAAAATGTATTGTAAAACTTGACACATTTAAATTATTTTTAAAAACGTGGAATTATTTTGAAACAAGCTTTTATCGCAGACTTGACTTGTCACCTAAATACTTTGAATTTGAAACTCCAACAGATTGACCAAACAATATCTGAGTAATGAGTTATGTTAATTCGTTTCGCAAAAAATAAAAGACTTTGTTCTTTACAAAAATCTTTGACCTGTTCCAATAGTTTAATAGAGTATTGACTTTTAATTAGAACTATGCGATTTCTAAAGCGCTATTCACTGAAATCGTGACCAGAAACAGGTATGGAACTTTTTAAATTTTGAAAAATATAATATGTATATATACCTAAACCAACCCAGTAAGCAAAAAATCATTGCTACAACGTTATTATTGCTGTCAAGTAGTTTTTAACATTGTATGCAACATCATTATGAACAAACTTTGACATTGATTTAGAGGTTTCAGTAATGTTGAAATTAACGTTTTTAAAATATTTTATTAATATTTTGAGAGCCTTATGTTATTAAATAATATTTTTGAAACATTTATAAAAAAAACATCAGTTAAAATATTTTTTAGAATATTTATTAATAATATTTTGTGCAACCGGCGCGCGAAAAGTCGCCCTTTACGCACATAATGGGATTTTAGAAAGGGCTCCCTTTCGACGCACCGATCACACAAAATATCGTAGCCAACATGTGCGGGTTATAAATCGGCCGAGAGTGCAGATTGTCACACTCGGCTTCGCCTCGTGCACCAAACTTCCGCACTCTCGGCTGATTTACAATCCCCCGCACTTGTTAGCTAATATACTATTAAACATGTTTATACAACATTATATCATAACGTTTGGAAAATTTATATAAAATCAACATTATAAAATGTTGATTAAATATTTCTTGCTTACTAGGAAATATCCAGAATTATAAAATTTCGAAATAAAAATATTTTCAAAATTTTTGGATCTCTGTATTTAAATCCTTTTTTCCCATGTATTTTCGAATCCTCATTTTCAAAAATGAAGCACATAAAATCGAGCACACGTTCGTCATTAAACTATAACATCGTTATCTTCGTTGATGAGAATAAATTTATTCAAAATTAACATTGATATTTCGGAACTTAAAGCAACAAAATGTAAATATAAAGTGTAAGACAGGCAACAAGAGCCAATCGTGGATGACAGTGCGTTATTCCAACGAAACTAAATTTTTTCGTTAGAATTAAATATGTACCTGTGCACAAGGCACCAAATTTTACTTGGTCACGACCAAGATTTTAAAATATAAAATAATCTCATATTTGAGATTTAATTTCAATAATCCTTTAACCCCCTGCGGAAATAAATAAATAAATGCAAGAGAAAAATATAGATCCGAAAGTCGCTGAATCGGGAATCGAATTTATTTCCGCAAGGGGGTTAAAGGATTATTGAAATTAAATCTCAAATATGAGATTATTTCATATTTTAAAATCTTGGTCGTGACCAAGTAATATTTGGTGCCTTGTGCACAGGTATTTAATTCTAACGAAAAAATTTAGTTTCGTTGGAATAACGCACTGTCATCTGCGATTGGTTCTTGTTGCATGTCTTACACTTTAAATTCATATTTATATTACGGAGCCGTGTTAAACTCTTAAAATGTAAATAGTTTTTAACTTTATAGTGGAATAAACCTATTGGAGAAACCACTAAAAAAAAAAACGCATTAACAAGTAGTACCTCGAAAAGGTGATATGGAAATTTATTGATGTTTTTAAATATATACCATCTATTGACTTTATTGCAATATATAATAATTATATTAAATAAAAATATTAATACGTTAAATAACACGTTAAATAACGAAGTCGCCAGTGATGACTAAAAATATAATAATTCTTAACTTTATTAAAAATATTAATATTATATCTGGGAATATGTCTTATTATATATAATAAGTTTATATACAGACCTTAATGATACACACACAACGCGCGCGCGCGCACACACATACGCACGCACACACACATGCAATTAACATACGTAATTAATTTTAATGTTATTTTTAATGTCATATGTAATTGTAATAACATAATAATAGAAAAACAGCGCACTGGGCGATACGCGCCAACGCCCTGTGTATGATTCAAATATCGTTCCTGAGCTCGAATGTCTTATGTCTCCGCGCGCAATCTAGATGCAATGAATTAAAAAAGTGGCAGTAGCAAAATCGGCCGAAATGTGCATCCCGGCCGCATAGCATGCTTTAGATTACCCTCCCCATGATGTTTTTTCTTTGTGATTTGCCTCCTTTTTTTTGAACTATGAAACAATATAGGGACCCGCGCCTCCTATGATGAAAATTTTTTATAATCTGAAATTTGTTGCAAAAGCGTGCGCAAAGGCACGACTAATTAATTTTTAATTAATTAATTAATATAATTGCAGACTGTCCCGGTTAACGACACGTTAAACTCCAAAAAAAACTTTAACGATTAATATTTCGCTTCGCGTGGCATACCACCATTTTTTTCTGCTAGATTTTTTGTGCAAAGACGCGTCAAATTAACATAATTTTATTGATTTTTGAGGTGAGGTCTGTATTCTAAATAATTATTATCTTTTATTAATAGCTTATTACATAAATATGTTTATAATCTAATTTAATTACCATATACCAATTATCATATATTATTCGATCTAAAAAATTTTCTTTTTTTGATTATAATGAATATTTAAATATGAATCAGCCCATTCCCGATTCAGCCGACTTTTTTGGACCGATATATTTTTCTCGTCTATATTAATTTTAGGAAATTTTAAAAGGTTTGTTAGGAAGAAAGAGTAACTTATAAATCTCGATTTGAGATAGTTCCTCATCTTGGCAAATTTGCTAAGCATTATATATTGGCTCTCACAGCAATAGATTCTCTATCTTTGTTATTTACAATAAGAGCGATCTAGCCATATCATTCATTTAAATATGAGTTTATTTTGATACTAAACATTTGAAACAAAAGCCTTTCCCAGTATTATAGGTTTTAATATGCTATTTGCAAATAATGCATTATATAGTGTTATTGCCAGATATACCAATTGAATTAAACTGTGTGTGTTTCAATTCTTTTATATGCTTCTCTATATTTTGAGTACTAAATGTAAATACCTGATGCATAACTACATCAGTAATCCAATAATTTCCATACTCAGTAATCCAATAATTTCCATGATCAATGATTAAACTACATGGAAGAGAGATAAAACATGATTTTTCCAAATAGTATTAACAGAAGGTTATATTAAAGTAATCATTTTGATTAAAAAAATACAAATTTTGAATCGAATAAAATGTAGGAGTTACTAAATTAGATTAGCTGTCGTGTAATTGTAGTCAATGAAACACGTTTTAAATCCTGTAGACAAATAAGAAGAAAAAAAAGGAATAAATATACAGTATTCAGATTAACACTTTATTTTTACAGGGAAACTATATGGTATGTACATGAGTATGAATGGAGGTATAAGTGATAAATAGTATAAAGAAAAGAAGTAGATCGACGTGTAATACAGTATTACACACGTGAGTATTGATTTTTTTGCTATCCAACTTACATTATATAATTGTTGTACAATATATAACTAATATGCAAATATTATATATTACATATATATATGTTAGTTGTAATTAATATATATGTCCTGATGTACTGCTAGTACAGAAAATCTCTAATATATATAATGCAAACTATAGATTTTTAGTACTGACAGTGTATATTGGATATAATTTGTAACTAATGTGCATGTTACATGTAACATATATATATATTAGGTGCGCAACTAAGTTCTCGCTTTTTTTTATGAAAATGCAACTTTATTGTGAAAAAATGGTTACAAATGAATCATTCAAAGTATTGCCCATCGTTAGCCACAACTTTTTCCCATCTTTCTGGCAGAGCTCAAATACTGTTACGGTAAAAGTATTCGTCTTTTGAGGCTATCCACGAATCAAGCCATTTTTTGATGTCTTCATATGAGCGGAACTGCTGATCAGCCAGACCATGTGCCATCGAACGGAACAAGTAATAATCGGACGGCGCAATATCTGGGGAATATGGCGGGTGGGGTAGGACTTCCCATTTGAGCGTTTCCACGTAAGTTTTAACGGGTTTGGCAACATGAGGCCGAGCGTTGTCATGCAGTAGAATCACTTTTTCGTGCCTCTGCTCGTATTGCTCGCTTGGAAATGGCTTGGCGGGTAACTCCTAATGCTGAAGCAAGCTGTTCTTGCGTTTGGCATGGATCCTCATCGAGCAATGCCTCCAATTCAGCGTCTTCGAAGGTTTTGGCCTTCTTTCACGCGGACGGTCGTCAACATCGAAATCACCGTCTTTGAAGCGACGGAACCAATCACGGCACGTTGTTTCACTTAGAGCAGCATCTCCGTAAACTTTTTGGAGCTCTCGATGCGCTTCAGCCGCCGTTTTCTTCGAATGAAATAAGAAAATCAACACTTCCCGCAAATGACGATTATTTGGTACAAAATCAGACATTTTCACACAACTAAAAGTATATGATGCCAAAACAAAATCATTAACATGTCAAAGCGGTTTGTTTACCATATGTCTAAGCTTGGCTCGTGACGTTTTGGATATGTCAAAATCGACCAGCACTTACTGCTGGAGCCATCTATAGACAAACAGCGGAACTTAGTTGCGCACCTAATAGATTGAAATTATTATACATATTCCGATATACTGCCAGTACTGAAAATAATCCAATATATCTAATGTAAACTGTAGATTTTTAATATTGGTAGTGTATTTTACATTATAGCATATTATATATTATAAATATTACATCTATTAGTGAAACAGATATATAAACAGATATATAATTGTTGTATAATGTTATTTTGTAATTATATTGTAATTATATCCCAGATATTAGATATGTTTTGCTATACACTGCCTGTATTGAAAGTCTATAAACTACGTTAGATATATTAGAGATTTTCAGTATTGACAGTATATCGGAATATATCTACTAATTGCAATCAATATATATGTTATACTGCTGATAATGACAGTTTATAATATATGTAACGTAAACTATAGATCTTTGGTACTAGCAGTGTATGTGGAAATATACCTAATATTGATAAATCATTGTGCTATATTCTAGAATATAATTACAATATAACTACAGTATAACATATATTATATATATTACATCTATATAAAAGAAACAGATTTATAATTGTTTGATGTTTATACTGTACTTATTTCCTACATATTATACATATTCCGTTATACAGTGTCAGTATTAAAAATTATAGTTTATATTAGATATATTAGAGATTTTCTATACTGGCAATATATAGGAACATGTCTATTAATTGCAACTAATATATATATGTTACATCCCAGCAAACACCAAGTAACTATTATATAACTCATAATTATATAACTGTTATATAATTTCCCACGCGTGTGTTATATTGCGTTTACATTGTTGAGTGGAAAATTATAACTAACAGTTATATAATTATTATTTGGTGTTTGCTGGGATGTAATATGTACGCTAATTACATATACAATAATAATATATCTCTTTTACTTAAATGTATATGTAATATTTATATAAATTAAGGTTTATTTTATTATTCTGTGCATAAAAATATTAAAGATGGGATAATAAAAAAAATATATTTTCCGATACTTTAAATTTGATGTCAAAATATATGACAATAAAATATTTAATATAAAGTAAATAATAAAAAAATTATTTTCATGTTTTCATAATATAAAAAGAATAAAAAGAATATTATATATATGTAGGATATCATCGAAATGTTCGATGACGGAAAAGGCACACTACTCCGAGAAGCAGATACAGAAAGAGATGAAGGATGTACCAAGATTGCAACAACAAGGTTCTGCCAAGTCAGAGAAAGAAATATTGTTTCTCTTCAAGAACAAGTCGATCAGCAATAAAAAAAAGTCGCGGCGCGGAGAAGAATATATAGATAACGAAGAAGAACATTGATATCGAGAAGAAGTACGTGGCAGAATCGAGAGAAAAGATTTTGAAGATTACGGAGGATATGAAATAGAAAAAAAGAGGTAATGCCGAAAAATATTGATGAAAGGAAGAAATATAAGAACATGTGAGAAAGTTTACCGAATACAGAAATTGTGAAATTACGAACGGTCAGTAAGAATCATTATAATTACATATATAAATTTACCTCTTGCGTAATTTCTTGTAGAATTCTCTTTTTTGGCATACACATTTCTTTTAACAATTTCGATAATGACATATGCCCTTGTATTTCTGTCATATCAGTCAAATTATTTACAATTAAGCATGGTTGATCAACCCCAGCAAACACAATATATAAATGTTATATACTCAAGCATGTTACATGTAACGTATATGTTAGTTGTAATTTCCCACTCATAGATGTAACATTTTTAATATTACATATGTTACATTGTAGTTATATTGTCATTATATCCCAAGATAGCACTGGCTTATCAATACATCAATGTGCTATTTGGTATATAATTACAATATAACTACAATGTAATATATGTTATATTAAAATGTTACATCTATGAGTGGGAAATTACACCTAACATGGATGTTACATGTAACGTACACGTTATATTACCTGTTATATTCCGTTTTATTATAGCAATGTAACAATTTTATGTCGGTATTTGCTGGGAGTATTCTTTGGAAAAAAATAAATATGTACAGACTCAGCAAACACGGTATATAAATGTTATATAGATGTAAGTATTCAAGCATGTTACATGTAACGTATATGTTAGTTGTAATTTTCTACTCATAGATGTAACATTTTTAATATAACATATATTACATTGTAGTTATATTGTCATTATATCCCAAGATAGCACTGACTTATCAATACATCAATGTGCTATTTGGTATAACTACAATGTAATATATGTTATATTAAAAATGTTACATCTCTGAGTGGGAAATTACAACTAACATGGATGTTACATGTAACATACACGTTATATTACCTGTTACATTCCGTTTTATTATAGCAATGTAACAGTTATATATCGGTGTTTGCTGGGGAGCGTACTTGAATTAGCGGATCAACTCTCGTGGGTAGTTAGAGCGTGTTAAACTGAAGAGAGAAGTCTTATATCATTTTGCGATATTCGCAATAATTATTGAGTTATTGATTAAAATATCTAAGCAAATGAGCGGGTGGAAAGCGGTAGGCCGGACTCGGTAGATATGTCAGATGGCTTATTTGCAGGGTTGGGAAGTAACGAGTTACTTGTAACGAAGTTATAGTGTTTTTTTCGGTAACTATAACTTAACTTTGTTACTTTCCTCCATCTGTAACTGTAACTGTAACTTAGTTACATTTTTTAAATAACTAGTAATTATTTTAACTGTTACTTTATTAGTTACTTTTTTTGAAAAATGCGCTAAAAGTATCGTTCAAATTAATATGGTAGCCGAGCCGTTATATTGTTATTAAATTCTGATAACAGTAGCATATGGATCTTCATATGATTTAACTTTTACCTAAAATTCTCATTTAGTGTACATAAAATAATATAACACATAATTAAGATCGACCAATCACAATCAAGTATTTAAAAAAATTCTTAAATGTAATAATTGGTTGATTTGCTTGCGACTTTGCGATTATCATTTAGTATGTTACTAACTATTGTTACTGTTGTATATAAAGGTCATTCATACATGTATGGTAATCGCAAAGTCGCAAGCAAATCGATCAATTATTACATTCAAGAATTTTTTTAACTACTTGACTGTGACTGTGCATAAAATGTATAAGCTCCTTATATTTAAAATAATGTATAATTATATTTAAAAAGTAACTAAAAAGTAACGACTCGTTTCTTTTTAAGTAACTGTAACTGTAACGAGTTTATGCTTATTTGTTATATATCGCTTAGTAACAAAAGTATCATCTTACTTTTCGGCGTGGCTACGTTGCTCGCCGCTCGTTGCATGACGTCGCCTCTCAATCAGATAATGCTTTCGTTACTAAACGGCTTAAACAAATAAGTCATCCGACATGCCCACTGAGTCTGGTCTAGGACCGCTTTCTACCCGCTTATTTGCTCAGATATTTTAATCAATAACTCAATAATTATTACGAATTTAACAAAATGATATAAGACTTTTCTCTTCAGTTAACACGTTTTATTTATCCACGAGAGTTGATCCGCGAATTCGGGGACATCCTGTATAATTATAGTATATATAAATAAATATATTGTGTGCGTGTGTGTGTATTAGCGTCTCTCAAAGGTAAAATATATTAAGTCACAAAGGATCTCGCAAAATGGGAAATGACTCTCACAAGGAAAGGGTCGGAAGTGTCCCCCTCCGATTTTAATAAGCTTTGAATATGTTGTAGTCTAGATCAAAATAGGAGACACGTATTTTTTTATAAGTGCTGAGTCGGCCGTTAAGGGGGTGAAACATCTTCTTGAAAAAAATCGATTTTTTTATTTCTCAGCGAATACCGTCGAAGCGATAAGAGATATAAACAAAAGTTTCAAATAAAAGTTTTATGGTCTTTAATGTACTTCAAAATCATGTAATCAGATTTGTCGAAAATGTCATTCGACATTTCGGGATTTCGAAAGATATGACATTTTCGACAAATCTGATTACATGATTTTGAAGTACATTAAAGACCATAAAACTTTTATTTGAAACTTTTGTTTATATCTCTTATCGCTTCGACGGTATTCGCTGAGAAATGAAAAAATCGATTTTCTTCAAGAAGGTGTTTCACCCCCTTAACGGCCGACTCAGCACTTATAAAAAAATACGTGTCTCCTATTTTGATCTAGACTACAACATATTCAAAGCTCATTAAAATCGGAGGGGGACACTTCCGACCCTTTCCTTGTCAGTCGATTTGCCTGTAATTTAAATATGTTGCTGTTCATGACCTACTGATGAAATGTTTTCACAGGCGCAACTCGAAATAATGAGTCAGTTTCAAACTGCAGAATCCTGAAGTCGTTAACATTTGAAATATATTAAGGATTTATATAAATGATATTCTAAGCGCGTGAGTGCATTTTTATGTGTCTATTTATGCGTATGTTTATGTGCGTGCACATTTAGATTTGTTATAATTAGTCATATTTTCAAATGCTGAATGATCAAAATTTACCATTTTCTTGCTTCAAGAATACTTCGTTCATTTGGGAATATTATTATTTCTTATATTCTCTATCGTAGTGTTATAAATTATCAATATTTATTTTCAATATTAGCGTTAATCAAGATTAACGACAAGAACGTTTTGAGAATATAATACCTTTGGGGTGCTTGATTATGTAAGGCGAGTCTCCTTGCCTCTCACCCCATTAGTGTATAGAGTACATATTATTTTTAATTAACAATTTCGGATAATTTATTCAAATAATATATTTAAATTCGGCGTTAATGTTAGATAAATACCAATAGTTGAAATGTCAAATATTCAATAATTACATTTATTTATATAATTTTGTTGAAGTTAGCTGTTATTAATATAATTTATTAATATAACTCTATCAATTTGGTGGTACTTAAGTACTTATATTCTGAAGAAATAATATTGTGCAATGAGAATGATTATAATAAAAAAAATATCAATAGTAGGTAATAATAAATATATATAATACAATATAAACTTCGGCTCGTATAAAATTAAAAGGCCAACTTAACGAGCTAATAAGATGTTAATTAAATTTTTTATTATATGTCATAAAATAATATTACAAATGATAAACGTTTCGGCTGTACGACAGTCTTTTTCAATATCATTATCTCTATGTTAATAAGTCAAGAATTAAATCGTTTGGTAAGACCGAACATATTATAAATATAAAATCTATCGGCTTATAATGTGAAAAACGCAGTATCGAATTTCATTCTTGTTGACTTGAGATAAATCGCCTACTCTCGAACATCAGATTTCTGTAGTTCATGATGTTATAATATGTAATATGCTGTGAAACAATTGATGTGTCAGCCCGAATATTAAATGTTGAATTTTTAAAAAATAGTGATTACTTACGTCTGTGTCGAGACGATAAAATATTTCTTTTTAAATAACATTGTCACAATGTGTACTTTTTGCAAAGCTAATCAATATCTGTAAATCGCAATGTCAGAGCGCTGTATATATACCTCAGTAGTATAATGGCAGGTATGGCCCGTCAAAACAAACCCCCACCACCGACCCGTCTGGCGCCGGGTCTTATCTTATCTTTCCCCCACCACCGGCGTCTGGCTTTTCCGAGTGTGGGTGTTAGGGGGAAAGGGTGTTGGGGGAAAAAAAAATGGCGACTGGCCCCGAAAGGTGGGGATGAGAATTTTTATTTTTTATTTTTTCTGATTTTCTCTGGATTTGAACCCGGGACCTCCGTGTTTCCGAGCAGGGTCCTAGTATGTTGAGCTAAACGAGATCTTACTAGTCTAAGGATTAGATGTGGTATTTAAGCTAAAGTTGCGTAGAGTACGGCATGGGGGTTCGGGTATACGTATGGCAAGGATAGCTCGTCGAATCAAATGGTCGATATTGGACGGGGGTGGGGTAAAAACAGTTCGGGTATACGTATGGCAAGGATAGCTCGTCGAATCAAATGGTCGATATTAGACGGGGTGGGGTAAAAACATTTTGGCCAAGAAAAGCGTCGTGCGGTCGACCGGTGGCAGGTAGTAGCTGACAATGGCGTAGGGTAATAAAAAAGAACACGCAAATATTTGTACAGGCGAGCATTCCGACTCGCGTCACGATAAAAAATAATAATACATCGTCGTAGATTAGAAAGATGTCAGATAAAATTTTATTTTAAAATAACTCGCTGCTTAATGAAGGTAAACAGGAACATGCATGTTGAGGAAATTTCTGGAAAGAGTAAGTGAAAGAAAATTGAACAATGGTTTTAAAAGTACAAATATGATTTATATTTAAAATATTTTACAGAACAAAATTATTCACAATCATTTCAAAAAAATATTCGTCGAATAATTATTAAAATTTACGTTTTGATATAATTGCATATACAATTTGTTCGAAATAAAGTGAAATTATTTCTAAAAATGTTATCTCGAAGTATACATCGAGAAATGTTAAAT